TATTTTTCTTTTCTTTTGGTATATTTTTTTTTTTTTTTTCACCTTTTGGGAGATTTGCAAACCGAATTACATGCATGTCCAGTGGGGGAAGGTTTAATTTTGACGATGGAGGGTCGTACTGTGGAGGCTGGGAGGACGGAAAGGCTCATGGCCATGGAATCTGTACCGGCCCGAAGGGTCAAGGTGAATATTCGGGCTCCTGGAGTCACGGCTTTGAGGTGCTGGGGGTCTACACTTGGCCCAGTGGCAACACTTACCAGGGCACCTGGGCGCAGGGCAAGCGCCATGGCATTGGCATGGAGAGCAAAGGGAAGTGGGTGTACAAAGGAGAGTGGACCCATGGATTTAAGGGACGGTACGGGGTCCGGGAATGCACTGGAAACGGGGCTAAGTACGAAGGCACCTGGAGCAATGGATTACAGGATGGCTACGGGACAGAGACCTACTCGGATGGAGGTAGGTGATGCATTCGTCCCTTCCTGGCTGGGGCAGGTGGGGTGGAGGGTGGTGGGGAGAAGCTCCCAGCAGGGTTTGGGTTGGAGTCTGGGAGTTTGCAACCTGCTGGCTTGGATCAAGGGATGCTCCCACCCTGCAGGAGGGAAGGAGCCAGCCCAGTGTGGCACCAGCCCAGCTCTTTGCCACAGGTAGCCCCATACGTTCCGTGGGGTCTCTTAGTGCTGGGTCCTCCCTCCTTCCTCTCCTCAAGCCGGTTTTTGGGATGTGCGAGGGGCTGTGCTGGTGGGGGGACGCCCAGCTCCGGCCCAGAGAGGTCGGAGCATGGGGTGGGCCAGGCCCTGGGGACACAACCCAAGTTGCACATGGGATTGGCAGTTGTGACTGCGCCACTGGAACCTGTAGGATTTGCATGGGAACGACGCGGGGCAGGAGGGAGGCGAGTGTGTGTGTGGGGGGATCCGGGGAGGATGGGGCAGCTCCACTGCTGCCAGAGCTCGCAGCCAGGGTCGGGGGGCTCTGCACCTCCTCAGCCCCTCCAAAGGCAGCCCCACGCTCAATAATGCCGGGGAAAAGACTTTAATTCAGACAAGAGTCTTACATTCCTAGTTTACGGCTTAATGCTTAGCGTAGGGGCTCAGAGGGATCACCAGAGCTCTTCTCTGCCGTCAACACGGCTTAACGAGATGCTGAGGGGAAACTGGGATTAGAGGAAAAACAAGAAAACCCAATTGGAGCGATCAAACCCAAAAAAATTGCTGGGCTAACAAGCTTTAGGGCTGAACAGGGAGAAACAGCTGGTGCCGTGCTGTAAGTGGCTGTATCATCCTCTCTCCTGGGTTGTGGCTACTTCCACAATCGGAATTGCCACCATAATCCGAGGCAGGCCTACCTGCCGGCAGCCGGGGACACTGAGCTCCGCTGGCCCCTTGTTTTCCCGGGAATCGTGGCCTCCTAAAGCAGGCTCACGGGTTATTTTTAGGACGTTACGGTTTTCCATACGGCTCCGGTGAGGAAATTGCAGCGTTGGGGAGCTCCATCGCAGCCTTCCCGAAAGGTGCTGCAAGACCTTGCTGTGGAAAAGCCAGTTTGCTGCTTTGTGGTTGCACAGGGAGGGGAGGTTAAACCTCACCTGCAGCTGCTTTTTCTGTGCTCTCGCAGGGAAAGGCGGAAACACCTCGGGATTTTTAATGATAATTTCGTGCCGGTGGTTTTCTCCCAGAGAAAAAGAGAGCTGCAACCTTTTGTTTCAGCTTCCTGGAAGGATGCTGGGGACTGAGCTGGGGTGTGCCGGGTGTGTGTTTGGAAGCCATGGATATATCCCAGCAGTCCTTCAGTCGAGAATAAGGCTTGGGCAGGGAATCATCGCTGTCTCCCACGTCCAAGGCGGTCAGGAGGGGCTGGGGGGGAGGTTTCTGCTTGCTCCCAACGTGGGTGCTGTCTCCTCCTGGCACCCAGCCCCTGCCTGGGAGGTTTGAGGGAGGACAGACACAAGTCTGGACTAACTACAGGTCTCTGAGGGCTGGGTGTTGCAGGGCTGGCCCTGTCCCCAGCCACGCACGTGCCCCCGCCCCGGCACGCTCCCCATCCTCTGCAGCGCAGCGTTTTTTAGGGAAACCTGGGCAGCAGCCCCACACTGGGGTGGCTTAGCAGCAGTTTCAGCGTTTTCTGAGAAGCTACCAGAAGCGAAGAGCTTTTCCTTCCATCTTGTCAGGCCAGCCCGGCTTCCCGGCGTTCAGGGACCCAAGAGCGATGTGGCGTGTGTGATTTCGGGAGGAGGGAAGAGGAGCAGTGCTGGGAAAGGGCAGGGTCTGTGGTAAAATGGGACTCTACAAACCTTCCAGGGTGGAAGGAATGCCGTGCTGGGGAAATGCAGAGTGCTGGTAACTGTGGATGCTCCTCCACACCGGCTTTCCCCACCTCAGCTGGGCCAGAACCACCTCCAAGGCCACTTCCACCAACTCAGCTCCCAGCACCCAGAGGCCACGTCCCTTTCCCAGTTGCCTGGCTCCATTCTGGGTGGAAACCACCAAAGCTGGGCATCTCCAGCCTTTTGGACACCAAGCCTTGCTGAACTTTGCGTGTTTGGGTCCCAGAGGCCGCTGTGTGGCTCCGGGGAGGCAACTGTTGGGAAGGATGTTTCTCATTAATCTATTCCAGTTATTACCTCCAGCAAACTGAAGTATCCAAGAATCCTCGCCCCAGCATCTGTCACTTGCCACCCACAGATAAATATTCATCCCTTGCACATCATTTTTTTTAGCTCCCCAGCCCTGGCTTGGGGATGGGGCCCTAAATGCGCAGCGAGGCTCGGGGAGCCCCAGACTCCACGGATTCACTCCGGTTTTCCCATTCCCTTGACAAGAGCAGGGAAGGGCACGGCTCCCCCTGCCCAGGGCTGTGTTGCGAGGGATGTTGGTGTCACCTCTGGACTGTTGGGTGGCAGGGGTGGCACATGGTGGCCCGGGGGCTCCCGCCAGCCCCGCAGCCAGCGCAGGCAGCGCTGCCCCCACGCGCAGCTTGCCGAGCTCACACCTCCCACGCCGCACACGCCGCGCACCCCACGCCTGTCCCCCCACGCCGACCAGCCCCCCACGCCCTTCCCACGCGCTCCCTGACCCCCAAGGAGAGCAAATCCTGCTCCCCCAGCCCGGGGGATTCGTGTCCATCAACGCAGAGCCCAGATCAGCCGAGGGAGCCGTGCTGTTCCCCCAGGAGCCCACGCGTTGCGAGCGGCCCTGCCACGGCTGACATGCGGCCTTTGTGCTGTCCCCTCGTCCCCGTGGCCTCACTCCCTCAGACATCCCCAGCACTGCTGGTAGATCCTCATCTTCCTGCCAAAAAAACCCCTGCCCCCCTTCCAGAGCACCCTGATATTACATAAACCAGGCTCCCGAGGATTGCTTCAGTCGGGTGCTGGAGTTGAAGCACTTGTCTGATTCAGCCCAGCTCCAGAGTGGGAGCAGGAATTGCTCCCTTGCTTCGGGTGAAAGGGGCTGCATCCACCTGTGTGGCAGTGGAGCTGGGGGGACCTGGGGTGGAGGGCTGGAGACCCTCTTCTGGTCAAGTCTGGAGATCAGGAGACATCACAGCTGCTTCCTTTCTCAGATACTTTGGGGATGCTCAGTGATTTCACCCTGGGGACAGCTGGAGTAGTAGCTCCAGACTTCCCATGGGAATCCTCTGCGTTGGGTTTGGGTTGAGCTGCTGAAACCATGGCTGTGGGGGTGGATGAGATGGGGTGGCTGAAGGAAGCCCCCGGTCTGGTTTTGCCCTTTCCATCCCTAGCAATGCTTTCTCTCTCCTCCTTCCACCTCTTCCCAGCTGAACAACCAGGATCCTAAACCAGACAAGGGCTCTGGGATGGGACCAGCCCAGCAGCCCTGAGGGAATGGGACAGGCTGGAGGTGTCTGCTGTGAACCAGGTTCACGCTGTAGCCAGTCCTCTCCCCATCCTGAATGTCCCCTGCTCCCGAAATCCTTGTTTCTCGGGAGGGCTACCCCGAAAGGGCCGGGCGGTCGCATGGTGGTGCTCATCTTGTGTAATCTCCGTGCCCACTCACCTAAAATGAATCATCCTTTGATAGGTGAGGGAAATATAATTAGTGTTTGCATTGTTAGCACTGGCTGAGTAGGCAAGTGGGTTTTCTTGGCCCGGGCTGGGAAGTGTTCCTGCCATGGGGAGAGGGAAGCGGAGCGCTGGGAGCTGCTGGGGTGGGGCCCTGCCAGCCTGTCCTGCTCCTTGTCCCACTTTCCCAGCCCTGCAGTGGCACTGGTGACACCTCTCTTAGCAGGTGCACCAGGAGCTACCGACCAAATGGCTTGGGAGTGGCTGGGGAGAGGAAAAACATGGAATATTTCCCAAAAGCCAGCATCAAGGGGGGATGGAGCGGGAATGCCGTGTGGGACCTGCCCGGCTGGGAAGGGGCTGCATCCCCTCACCTGAGCAGAGCCGTGGTTTGGGATGAGCCACCACCAGCCAGGAGGGTTGGAACGAGACATCTTTAAGGTCTCTTCTGACCCAAAGGATTCCCAGATTGCACAGTGCCACAATGGCAGCGGCCTGGTGCCTCTCCCCACCCCGGCCTTCCCCGAGTTCCTGCACAGGGAACCGACGAGCGAGGGCAAATTTCCATCAGGATCTATTCATAGCACGGATGTCAGAATTACCTTAAAAGTACCAGCTCTTCCCTTGTTTTGCTGCCGGGAAGGAATTGTTGATGCTCTTTAAACAGTGGGCGGAAACAAGCAAACACAAATCCTCGATCCGCCCGTTCCTGCAGCACCCAGAGCTGGTCCTGACAACCCCCCAGAACCTGGAAATTAATTTTAAGAGTCAAGATTTTGGTGATGGGGCACCTAACTGTCTGGGTTGGGTCTAGAAGCTGCTTGCAGTGGTTCTAGGAGAGCAAAACCGGAGACGTCGGGAGCTGCCGAGCACAGAAAAATGAATCAAAATACTAAATGAAGGTTCTGACCAGCCTCATTAAAAATAAATGCTATGAACTCATGGTAATTACTTCTCTCACTGGAACATGCTGCTTAGTTTCAGGTACAGCTCAGGACAGAGGAAGAAGGATTTTGACCTCGGAAAAAAGAACATGAGACAGGAACTGCCAGACAGGCCTCAGACCCTCACTCCATCTTCCCAAGTCTTTTATCCAGGCTGTGATTCTCCAGGGAATTGTGCAGGAGCCCAGCCTTGGGAAGCCCATCAAGCCCCTCACCCTGACCCACCACAGAGGGTGACTTCAGCCCTGAAGCACAGTGTTAATGTCATTTCACCATGTCATTTCTCATGGCTTTGAATGCAAATCTCAGGATATTTGCATGTGATTTGATATCCCATGGGGCTCCTCGTGGTTGGGTGACATCTGCTCCTGGAGCTGAACATTTTTATTTTTTTTTTTTTCCTTTAGAAGCTCCAGCTTGTGGAATCATGTGATTTTGCAAGATTTTCAGCTTCAGTTTGGAAGCAAGGTTTCCACCCAGGCTATTGCAGA